CAGAACTACGGCTTGCCCAAGGTCATCCAGCCAGGTGCAAGTGGAGGAGTGGGGAATCAAACCTGGCTCTCCCAGATTAGAAGAGATTGGATTTATGCCCCGCCCTTCACTACTGGAAGGAGTCTCAGAGCGGCTTACAACCTCCTTTCCCCCTCCCCACAACAGACACCCTGTCAGAGAGCTCTGACAGAAACTGCTCTTTTTCAAGGACAGCTCTTAGCAGAACTACGGCTTGCCCAAGGTCATCCAGCCAGGTGTAAGTGGGGGAATCAAACCCGGTTCGCCCAGATTAGAGTCCGCACACTTCACCACTACACCAAACTGGCTCTCTGTGGGGACTAGCTCATGGCCTTTTTCGTACAGGTGTGTCCTTCAGAAGGAGCTGCCGCACAGTCTGCCAGAGCAGGTGGTAGGAAAGGCAACAGGCGAGCGTCCGTCCCTCTACCGGAATTCCGAGGGCCACCATCTACTCTTCCCCTCGGCACAGTTGCACGGAGCACCTACAATTCTTCCCCGGTCTGTCACTGTGCCGCCACCCACACCCTGATCTCTGTCTGAACCCCTTTCACGGTACTCGAACCCTACCTCTGAACAGCTGTGCTAAAAAGGGGATTAGACAGATACATGGAGGAGAGGTCTAACAGAGGCTACTAGCTATGGTAACTAAAGGGGCGTGCAGCAGCAGTCAATCTCTGAATCCCAGGGCCAGGGGGCAACATCAGGGGTAAGCCTCGGGCTCTGTGTCCTGTTTCTTGCATCTCCAGAGGAACTGACTGCCCACTGTGTGAGACAAGATGCTGATCTGGATGGATGGATGGCCCCTCACTGGTCTGATCCAGCAGGGCTCTTATTATGTAGGCTTCGGCCTCTCTGCCCTGTTGCTGGCCCTCCAGAGGAACTGGTCGGCCACTGTGTGAGACAGGAGGCTGGACTGGATGGACCCTCCCTGGTCTGACCCAGCAGGGCTCTTCTGAGGTTCTTCTCAGGGGAAGGCCTCGGCCTCCCTGCCCTGTTGTTGGCCCTCCAGAGGAACTGGTTGAGGCCACTGTGTGAGACAGGAGGCTGGACCCTCCCTGGTCTGACACAGCAGGGCTTTTCTGAGGTTCTTCTCAGGGGAAGGCCTCATCCTCTCTGCCCTGTTGTTGGCTGTCCAGAGAAACTGGTTGGCCCCTGTGTGAGACAGGATGTTGGACCAGATGAACCCTCACTGATCTGATCCAGCAGGGCTCTTTTGAGGTTCTTATCAGGGGAAGGCCTCGGCCTCTTTGCCCTGTTGTTGGACCTCCAGAGGAACTGGCGGGCCTCTGTGTGAGACAGGAGGCTGGATGGATCACTGGTCTGACCCAGGAGGGTCTCCAGAAGTCCTTATACGGCTGTGTTCTTGCGACTAGGTAGGCACCACAAGCAATGAACATTCATGCTGTCCAAATGCCCTGCAGCAGCTCACTGGGGGGTGACTCAGCCTCGCCCCCCTCTAGCCAGGCATCAGTGCCCTGGCGGGGTCATTCCTCCACAGCAACACCAAGACGGGAGGACGTACCTGGATGCATCCCGCCGGGAGGGAAGGGATGTGGGTGAGGAGGGTGCGCCCCAGCCGGAGCACCTCCGGAAGGGGGCCCAGGGGCTCCGGCGCCCGGGGGCATGGGTGGAGGCGGCATAGCTGTGTTCCTGGCGGCATGGCTCCTGGAGGCGGCACTGGCGGAGGGAACGATCCTGGGGGTGGGATGCCTGGAACGGGAAAAGCAGGATGCTGAAACGTGAGCAAAACTTACAGTTTCAAAGAGGAAAAACGACTGCTCGTTGTTAGAAGAAAAGGCCATCCTTAATATTACACACACACGTTTACTCTAACAGCAAAGAGAATTCAGCTGGAGACAGGAAATGTAGGAGAAATGGATGGGGACACTCCGGAGGGACACTTACTGACCGCCCCTGGAATATCACACTAGCCTAGCTCGGCCGGCAGCCACACCTCCCACCTGGGCTGAATTTGGATTGGCAGAGGCTGCCAATATGCAGTTGACACACAGCTCTGTTTTTACTTAGCCGCGGAGTCAGGTGGGTCTGTGGAAAACCCTTGACAGATGCCTGGAGAAGGTAATGGGATGGGCCGATAAACTGAAGTTCAGTCCAGATAAGACCAAGAAGCTACTGGTCAATGGCAAAGATCACTGAGAGGTTGGTTTGTCTCCAAGTTCACTGAAAGGCACTGTGTAATGATTCCATGTTTTGGTGTGTGTGTTTCTTTAAACTTTTAGTTTGACTGCAGTAATGTAAGGAGAGGGAGATAAGTGTGATGTGACTGGCTGATGAGTGTGGGAGGAGAGATGTCTATGAGGGGATTCTGTGTGAGAAGTTTGAAGAGAGAGCATAGTCTGTGTGACTATGGGAGTTTGAGTCTATTCTGTGCAAATAAGACAAGGAGTTTAGTCTGTGTGACTATGGGAGTTTGAGTCTATTCTGTGCGAATAAGACAAGGAGTTTAGCCTGTGTGGCTACATATGTGAGAGAGAGAGAGAGAAATTAGACTGAGTGTCTATGCCTGAGAGTGGAGTTTTGGTGTTTGAGAGACTGTTTGTGACACCAAGCTTTGCCAGTTATATTTCCAAGTTCCTTTCATCAGCAACAGTTCAAAATAACCAGAAACCTATTTTGTTCTTTATTAAATAAATCAATTTTTGTTTAAAGTTATACCAGCAGTTATACCAGTAATCAGAATAGTCCTTCCTCAGGGCCACATAGTCCTCTGAAGTGCCCAGACACGGGGTTATTCTACCAAAATAGAGAGATTTGGGATTTTTAATTCCTGGTGGCAGCAGAAATCCACCAAGTTCAGGTGCACAGAATGTGAATTAAAGGAGAAACAGTTTCCCCAATAAGCAAGGACCTCACACACTGGTTATGGCCTTTAAAGTCCTTCATGGCCTGCGCCCACATACCTGAAGGACCACCTCCTTCTGTACATCCCCGTGTGCCAACTGTTGTCTGCAGGCTGCCACCTGCTGGCTGTTCCCCCATTTGGGGCAGCACACCTGGCATGGAACACAGCCCACCCCTTCTCCATCCCAGCTTCCCCTCTATAGAACGAGTTCCCTAAAGCGGTGGGTGAAGGGTGCCCCCTCAGGGCATGTCTTCATGTGGCGCTGCAAGGTTTGTTTGTCTGCCAGCAGTTCTGATGGGCTATGAACAACTGGCATCTTCTAGGTGGGGAGGAATTTGGGTTACTTAAAAAAAAAAATTATTTGGTTTTGATCCGTGATGTCCCAATTCGTACCTGTAAGCCAGAATGGTAACACACTTAAGATGAACACAAATTCAACGAGCGAGGAAAAGGGACCACACTGACCAAGAATAGCGCCCGCTGATCCAACAGCCAACATCTTAGTATGTGTGGATTAAAATCTTCAATCATATAAGGTGCATGGCATTTTCAGCATCATGAATGCTTCTGCCAACCACGGATTCATTCTTTTTTAAGCCATGAGCTGGATGCACGCTCTGTCAGCTGAAGGTACTAGCAGCCAGTGTTCCCTCTAAGCTGAGTTAGTGTGAGCCAGCTCACAGTTTTTTAGCCTCCAGCTCACACATTTTTGTCTTAGCTCAGGAAGGAGGGCTCCAGAGCAAACTAGTTTATGCAGTAGTCAAGTCGCTCGCTCACAACTTTAATGACAGTAGCTCACAAAGGAGAATTCTTGCTCACAAGACTCCGCAGCTTAGAGGGAACATTGCTAGCAGCTATGACTTTCTGCCGTGCTTCACTTCTCCAGGAGTAGCTGCTGATCGCAGGAAAAGCCGGTTCCTGGATCTCAGGACATAAACAAACAAGCCACGCAGGACAGAGAGCTGCAGCAGGGAAGGGGAAGAAGGCAAACTTGTTCCTGTTCCCCTTTCTTACTGCAGTCCCTGACCCATGTGACCACAAATCCATGTGGGTAAATCCTGTGTCAGCTACGGTGCCCTAATGGTTAGAGGGAGGCAAGAGTCTGCTGGGAAAACATCTCAATGTGCTGGAATGTTCACTTTCACTTCTGTTGTGTCTTCTCTCTTCTCCTGGTCTAATGACCTTGGTGCCTAGCTCCTGTTGCTTCGCTGGGAACGTAAACCCGTTAGTCTTGGGTGTGCTGCAGTTCACCCTCTGATTGGCTCATTTCCATCAGGGACCCCACTCTGAATCCTGTACATCTTCCCCTCTCCCGCCTTTAGGTGTAGAAGAAGAAGGAGAGATTGGATTTATGCCCCGCCCTTCACTACCCAAGGGAGTCTCAGAGCGGCTCACAAAATCCTTTCCCTTCCCCTCTCCACAACAGACACCCTGTGAGGTAGGTAGGGCTGAGAGAGCTCTTGACAGAAACTGCTCTCTTTTCAAGAACAGCTCTTATCAGAACTATGGCTTGCCCAAGGTCATCCAGCTGGGTGCAAGTGGAGGAGTGGGGGAATCAAACCCGGTTCTCCCAGACTAGAGTCCGTGTACTTAACCACTACACCAAACTGCCACCGGAAGTGGTGGCGGCTACAAGCATGGGCGGCTTCAAAAGGGAATTAGATAAGCATATGGAGCAGAGGTCCATCAGTGGCTATTAGCCACAAGATATAGATAGGGGCTCTGGGGCAAGTGATGCTCTGTCTTCTTGGTGCTTGGGGGGGGTCAACAGTGGGAGGGCTTCTAATGTCCTGCCCCCACTGGTGGACCTCCTGATGGCCCCTGGTATTTCTGGCCACTGCGTGACACAGAGTGTTGGACTGGATGGGCCTTTGGCCTGATCCAACATTGGCGTCTCTTATGTTCTTATGTTCTTAAACTGGCTCTCACTAACTAACTACAGTGTTAGTTAGATCGAACACTGAATGTGTGCACGGATGACCTGCCTTTACTGTACTCAATAAATATGATCCTTCTGAAGGAACGTTGTTGGGACTGATCATCGTGGGACTCTGACATCCTGCTGCTTTGGAAACCAACTCGATCAGGGTCCAAAGGGACTGCTAGTGGGAAGGAGCTGTACTATGTCCACTGACAACTCCAGTGGATCCAACCCACTGAATCTTGGTTTTTCAACTGGATCTTAGTTTTTCAACACTGATAAAAAACTATAAATTCCACCACAAGCCTTACAGCAGGCCGGTGTACCAAAGCTGAACACACTGACCCTGAGAAGGCAAAAACCAAAGCAGGGTTGGCTTACCTGGTGGGGTGACCCCTGGTCCCAACGTCGTAACGACCGGGGTGGGCACTGACGGCGGGGGAGGGGCATCCGCAAACAGCTGGTGAGGCCGGTCCGCTTGCGACAGGGGGTTCTGAGCAGCCAGCAGGCGTTCAGCTGCCGAGCCGTGCCTCTCGCCTTTGGAATCCTTCTTGAAGGCATAGGAGACGGTGATGGGGCGGTTGCACAGGTACTGTCCGTTCATGGCCTCGATGGCTGCGTCGGAGGCGTCGAAGCTGGCAAAGTTGATGAAGGCGTAGCCCTTGGAGTTGCCCGTGTCCGGGTCGCGCATGATCTTGGGCGTCTGAAGGATGACCCCGAAGGCGCTGAACGTGTCATAGAGCAGCTTCTCATCGATCTCCGGGTCCAGGTTGCCGATGAAGATGTTGGCTCCCACATCCAGGTTCTTGTTGTGGGCCGAGGCCTTGTTGACCCGGATGGGCTTCCCGTAGAGCTTGATCATGTTCATGATTTTGATGGCGTAGTCGGCGTCCTCCTCGCTGAGGAATTCCACGAATCCATAGCCTGGAAGGAAAGGACTGTCAGAAACACCAGGCATTCTTCAACTATAGCAGTTACATTAGAGTCAGGGGTCATTTCCTGCAGGAGCGCAAAGGAGCGGAGCTCCGGCAGGAAAGAGCCCAAGGGGGCGGGCACAAGCAACAAGCCCCACCCCCTGCTCTCAGCAGCCCTCAGTGGGAGCAAGAAGCAGCCAGGTAAGCTGCAGAGCCCCCTCCCCCCAGTTCACCGGTCCAAAACAGTCCAGTGGCACCTTTAAGACCAAGTTTTATATAGGTACAAGCTCTCCCTCCTCTGCGAAGACAGATTTGCACATCCCCCCCCCCAATAGCTAGCAATCCAAAACAGTCCAGTGGCACCTTTTTAAGAACAAGTTTTATTCAGGCACAAGCTCTCCCTCCTCTGGGAGGACAGATCTGCATGTCCCCCCCCCCATAGCTAGCAATCCAAAACAGTCCAGTGGCACCTTTTTAAGACCAAGTTTTATTCAGGTACAAGCTCCCCCTCCTCTGCGAGGACAGATCTGCACGTGTCCCCCCCCCAATAGCTAGCAATCTAAAGAGTCCAGTGGAGCCTGAGCGGTGGGTGTTGCCTTCGGACACACTTCCGGTGATGTCAGAGGGTGTGGCATATGCAAATAAGTTATGCTGATGAGCTCCTGCACCTCTTTTTCTACGAAATGCCCCGATTAGAGTTACTACCTTTGTTAATATTATCTAGTTGGGAGCCCGTTTATGTGGCTCGTCATACACCAGACTGTGAACCCTTCACGGGTCCATGATAATCATGTGAAATTGTCCTTTTTGTGAGATGGTACATTGACTGATACAGCAGACACGATTGAAAAAGATCTCGAACCAAGGTCACCTCCGGAATCCTTGTCTCATGACAAATGTGTGTTATGGATTCCACGGCTGCATATAGAGTCTGGAGCCGTGTTACTTGTGAGATGCTTACATCGTCCCTGCAACTGTTTACGCACTGATGTGTACCAATGCTCCCTCTAAGCTGTGGAGTCTTGTGAGCAAAAATTCTACTTTGTGAGTTACTAGGATGAAACTTGTGAGCGAGTGATTTGGCTCCTGCCTCACTTAAGTTTGCTCTGGAGCCATCCTTCCTGAGCGGAGACAGAAATGTGTGCGCCGGAGGCTAAAAAACAGCTCACACTAACTCAGCTTAGAGGGAACACTGATGTGTACTATGTGGCTCCTTTTGCAGGCAGTTCAAAGTTACGGCCCGGGTTTCATTTACGATTTCAAACATGACACCTGACCATCTGTGACAATGACTTGATTGCACGTGGGGGGGATTCAATGGAGAATCTCCTCTGCTGCTCCTCTGAGACACTTATTTCTTGTTACACTGGAATGTTAACTTCCACTTCTCCTCGCTGAGTCTTCTCTCGTAGCCTGAGAGTCTGACCTTGGTACCTCTCCCCTGATGCTGTGCTGGGAATGTGAACCCGTTAGTTTAGGCGCGCTATAGCTGATGCCCTCATTGGCTCGACCTCGTCAGGGGACCCCCCCACATCGAATCCCGTACATCTAACTCCCTCCCGCCTTCAGGATTAGTTCTGACACTGAATGTATGCACAGATGACTTGCCTTTACTGCACTCCATAAACTTGAACCTTCTCGAAGGAATGTTGTTGAGAACTGATTGCTGCGAGACTCTGACAGCACTGTCTCACAGAGACCTGTTGTCTATAAGCGATCTGTCTCACTTCACTCTGAAAACCACAAGTCCCTAGCTGGGGAGAAACCAAGAAAAGCTTTGGGGGTATTTTAGGATGCAGTGTCTTGCTGCTCCATTTCTAATCCTGGATATATTTGGAAGTATTGCCTGGAGGGTGGGGTATAAATAAAAATAAAAAAATAAATAAAAATAAAACCTGTACTTTGAAACATACACCACAAACAGCGCTATCAAACGCACAGCAAGCCTAGAGTGCATTATGAATAAAAGTAATTTTAGATCTGGTAAGAGTTGTACACATTTCTATTCCCCTGCCCGCCAAGTCTGCGCTCCCTCTCAAAGAGGGGCATGCTCCCATTTTCCCCTAGGACTTCAAGAAGTGTCCCTACAAATAGAAGGAGGAGAGATTGGATTTATACCCCTTGCCCTTCACTACCCAAAGGTGTCTCAGAGTAGCTTACAAACTCCTTTCCTTTCCCCTCCCCACAACAGACACCCCCTGGGAGGGAGGTGGGGCTGAGAGAACTCTTTCAAGGACTGCTCGTGAGAGAACTTGTGATTGACCCAAGGTCACCCAGTTGACTTCATGTGGAGGAGGACTGGGGAATCAAACCCGGTTGTCCCAGGTTAGAGTCCGCACACTTAACTACTACACCAAACAGAGCTGAAAACCATAGAGTTCTGCAGATTTTTTTTTTGGGGGGGATTCTTACTCATTCCTGTGGCAGAACCTTGACCCCACTTCACATTGTTTGTGTGTGGGGGGGATCCCCTGTCCCTCAGAAGCAGAAATGTGGGGGGAATTTTGGACTGCAGCAGGAGGCAGAGGTGGCAAGGAAGCCATACTCCTCTGTGGAATCCAATCCATATACAGATGTGTGAATGAGGTGGAAGCATGGACAGCTTCAAGAGGGAACTGGATAAACATATGGACCAGAAGTATAGATAAGAACTCTCAGTCTGGGGCAAGTGATGTTCTGTGTCCTTGGTGCTTGGGGGGGTGGGGGCAACAGTGGGAGGGCTTCTAGGGTCCTGGCCCCACTGCTGGACCTCCTGATGACACCTGGTATTGTTGGCCACTGTGTGACACAGAGTGTTGGACTGGATGGGCTACTGGCCTGATCCAACATTGGCGTCTCTTATATTCTTAACTCTCAGGCTGGGGCCAGGGATGCTCTGTCTTCTTGGTGCTTGGGGGGGCAACAGTGGGAGGGCTTCTAGGGTCCTGGCCCCACTGCTGGACCTCCTGATGACACCTGGTATTGTTGGCCACTGTGTGACACAGAGTGTTGGACTGGATGGGCTACTGGCCTGATCCAACATTGGCGTCTCTTATATTCTTAACTCTCAGGCTGGGGCCAGGGATGCTCTGTCTTCTTGGTGCTTGGGGGGGCAACAGTGGGAGGGCTTCTAGTGTCCTGGCCCCCCTGCTGGACCTCCTGGTGGCACCTGGTATATTCGGCCACTGTGTGACATGGACTAGATGGGCCACTGGCCTGATCTAGCCTTGGCTTCTCCTATGTTCTTATATCCTGTTTGCTTCGAGGCCAAACGAGATCCTGACTCTGGAGGCACATCCAAGCCCCAGGTGCCCCTCCCCTGAAGATTGTACCAGGGTGCAAACCCAACAAACCCACCCAACACAATGGCTCCACCCAACACTGCTTAATAGCAGCACCGGCTTACCTTGATGCTGGCCCGTCACTCTGTCCTTGGGCATGTGTGTGTTGACGACGGGGCCCGCCTGGAGGAAGAGTTCCCACAGGAGGGGCTCGCTGACCTTCTCGTCCAGACCTCCCACGTACACCGTGGCATCTGAGAGAGAGAGGAGAAGACACCGCCTGGGTTACACGGGCCGGGGATATAGGCTCCCTTCTGCACGCCTTCGAAGAGGCTCCCAGGAACCAACTCAAAAACTACCCGTCCTAGGAGACGACGCTACACCCTTCCTTCCCATTCCTCGTTTTCAGGAAGGGCCCCATTTAGATCGACCCACCCCTACAAGCCATCGCCTCTGCCTGCAAAACAGTTTCCACGGAACAGCATTTCCTCACATTATACCTTCTTTGCCTTTCCTCTACCGCTCCTACCCAACTGTGCCTCTTCCCAGTTTGGTGCAGGGGTTAAGTGTGCGGACTCTAATCTGGGAGAACTGGGTTTGATTCCCCAATCCTCCACTTGCACCTGCTGGATGACCGTGGGCAAGCCGTAGCTCTGATAAGACCTGTTCTCTCAAGGACAGTCCTCGAAAGAGCTCTCTCAGTTTGGTGTCATGGTTAAGGGTGCTGACTCTAATCTGGGAGAACCGGGTTTAATTCCCCACTCCTCCACTTGCACCTGGCTGGATGACCTTGGGCAAGCCGTAGTTCTGATAAGAGCTGTTCTTGAAAAAGAGCAGTTTCTGTCAAGAGCTCTCTCAGCCCCACCTCCCTCACAGGGTGCCTGTTGTGGGGAGGGGAAGGGAGTTTGTCAGCCGCTCTGAGACTCCTTTGGGTAGTGAAGGGCCATGGGGTATAAATCCCATCTCTCCTCTTCTTCTTCTTCCCATCTGTTGCCTCTCCCTCTATCAAAATCTAGACTGCAACCTCTGAGAGGTAGGCCCTGATTTCCCTGTTCTTGCTCTTGTTTTGTATTAAAACGTGCTAAAACGTGATATTACTAAGTCCACCTGATAGGACATTGGACTGTGGGGTCGCTAGATACCGGACTGATCGGGTTTTTGTCAAGCGCTCAGATCCCCTGGCCTCATCTCCTCAAAGCACTCCTTACAAAGGAAGCAAGCAGGGCACGGTCTGGGACTCAGAACTTATTGGATGTGCCAGGTCCCCGGGTTATCAAACTCGTTACGACCAGGAACAGGGCGATCTCGGTGGCGGCTCCTACCTGGTGGAACGAGCTCCCAGAGGAGATCAGGGCTCTGCGGGACCTAGCACAGTTCCGCAGAGCCTGCAAGACGGAGCTCTTCCGCCAGGCGTTCGAATAGGAGCCTCCATCACCATGGTACCACCTACGCCCCAAGTTTTGTGGACAGGGCCAACATGATGTGGGTATTTTGGAAGAAAACGGCATTTTTGACGGCCATCTTGCTTTTAGGAGGTGAGCACCAAATACTGTTTGTATGTAAGATGTTTTAATATTTAATGTTATTTAATATTTCTAATGTTTTTACTGTTTTATTATATGATTCGGCGTTGTGCCGTGTAAGCCGCCCTGAGCCTACGGGAAGGGCGGGATAAAAATGTAAATAATAAATAATAAAAATAAAAGAGCAGGCCGGTCTGTAGGATACAGAAGTTACACCCTGAGTTCTGTTCTCATCGTGCAAAAAGATTTTATAATTTGAACATGTCATTGGAAAAGAGGGCTCACAGATGAGGAAAAAAATAGGGGACTATGGACATATTCCCCTTAAGAACATACAAAGACCCCTGCTGGATCAGACTGGTGGTCCATCTAGTCTCACCCAGTGGCCAACCAGTTCCTCTGGAGGGCCAACAGCAGAACAGAGAGGCCGAGGCCTACGCCTGATAAGGACATCAGAAGAGCCCTGCTGGGTCAGACCAATGAAGGTCCACCTAGTCCAGCATCCTGCCTCACACAGTGGCCAACCAGTTCCTCTGGAGGGCCAACAACAGGGCAGAGAGGCCGAGGCCTTCCCCTGAGAAGAACCTCAGAAGAGCCTTGCTGGGTCAGACCAGGGAGGGTCCATCCAGTCCAGCCTCCTGTCTCACACAGGGGCCAACCAGTTCCTCTGGAGGGCCAACAACAAGGCAGAGAGGCCGAGGCCTTCCCCTGAGAAGAACATCAGAAGAGCCCTGCTGGGTCAGACCAGTGAGGGTCCATCCAGTCCAGCATCCCGTCTCACACAAGGGCCAACCAGCTCCTCTGGAGGGCCCACAACAGGGCAGAGAGGCCGAGGCCTTCCCCTGAGAAGAACACCAGAAGGGCCCTGCTGGGTCAGACCAGTGAGGGTCCATCCAGTCCAGCATCCTGTCTCACACAGGAGCCAACCAGTTCCTCTGGAGGGCCCACAACAGGGCAGAGGGGCCGAGGCCTCCCCCTGAGAAGAACATCAGAAGAGCCCTGTTGGATCAGACCAGTGAGGGTCCCTCTAGTCCAGCCTCCTGCCTCACACAGGGGCCAGCCAGTTCCTCTGGAGGGCCCACAACAGGGCAGAGAGGCCGAGGCCTCCCCCTGATAAGGACACCAGAAGAGCCCTGCTGGGTCAGACCAGGGAGAGTCCCTCTAGTCCAGCCTCCTGTCTCAGACAGTATCCAACCAGTCGCTCTGGAGGGCCAACAACAGGGCAGAGAGGCTGAGGCCTTCCTTGATGTTGTCTCCCGGCTCTGGGATTCAGAGAAACTAGTGCCTCTGAATGTGGAGGTTCCCTTTCACCACCATGGCTAGTAGCCACTGAGAAGACCCATCCTCAATGAACCTCTCTAATCCCTTTTTAAAGCCGTCTATGCCTGTGGCCATCACTACATCGTCTGGCAGTGAATCCCACATTTTAATCACTCTCTGTGTAAAGCAGTATTTCCTTCTGTCCGTCCTCAACCTACTGCCCATCGGTTTCATTGGATGCCCCCGAATTCTAGTATTTTGGGGGAGAGAGAACAGTTCCCTTTGTCCACTCTCTCCACCCCATGCATGATTTCATAAGCCCCTCTCATGTCCGTCCGCCCCCCCGTCATCTCTTTGCTAAACTGCAAAGTCCCAGACTCTTCAGCCTTTCCTCAGAGGGAATATGCTCCATCCCCATAATCATCTTGGTCACCCTCTGTGTTTTTCCCAGCTCTGCAACATCCTTTTGGAGATACACTGACCAGAACTGTACTCAGCATTCCCAATGAGGCTGCACCATCGATCTATACAGGGGCATTGCAGTATCAGCCCTTTTATTCCCAACCCCCTTTCCCAAGAATCCCTAACAGAAGGTTTGCCCTTTTCACCGCTGCAGCACACTGGGCTGACGCTGCCCACTACACCCCCCCAAGATCTCTTTCCCCCTCTTAGTATGTTCAGACCCCATTAGCCCGTAGTTGAAGTTGGGATCTTTGTCCCAGTGCGCATCACCTTACAATTAGCTGCCTGCTCTCAGCTTACCCTACCTCACAGGGCTGGAGGGAGGAGCAATATAAGCTCGAGCGTGCCCAGAAGAGGGCAGCCAGGATGGTGAGAGGGTTGGAATCCAAGTCTTAGGAGGAAAGGCTGAAAGAGTTGGGTCTGTTTAGCCTGGGAAAGAGAAGGCTTGGAGGGGACATGATTGCAGTCTTCAAGTATTTGAAGGGCTGTCATGTAGAAGATGGAGCGGATCTATTCTCTCTTGCTCTGGACTGCAAGACTAGTTCTAATGGGTGGAAGTTACAAGGGAGTTGATGACCGGCTAAATATCCGGAGAAACTTCCTAACTGTAAGAGTGGTTGAGCAGTGGGACAGACTGCGGCAGATGCTCCTTTGCTGGACATTTTCAAGCGGAGGCTGGACGACCCTCTTTCGGGTATGTTGTAGGGCTATTATCTTTTGGCTGTGCTCCCACAGAGTGCAGGGGGGTGGACTAGATGACCTGCAAGGTCCCTTCCAGCTGTAACATTCTGTGATTCTATGTTTCTAAGCTGAGTCTCCACTAGGGTGAAAGGCCAGTATTAAATGAAGTAAATAAATATGCCCGTTACCATGCAATACATGCTGAAAAACAAACAATCAGGCCTGTAGCCACAGCGGGGGGCATTTAGGGGCGGTGCCCCCTCCCTCATTGCCCATGCCCCACAACACTCGACAAATACACTTGATGGGTAAACACTTTTTAACTTAGGCCCAAATGCGTTACAGCACCTTTGGGCCTTTCTCAGTGGTCACTGTTTTCTATATTGTACTGACACACATCCAAATACATGTATAAAAGATTTTAAGTATACATATATATATATAACCAGATGTTGTTTCCGTGTATGTTTATAATTATGTTACTGGTATATACGTTGGGCCATAGATATAGCCATGCCAATCCTTCAAATTATTCTGGTATCAGAGATTTCAATTGTCTGGATGCGTGTCACCTCCATCAAAGATAATGATCATTACCTTTTATACGTGTATTTTGAATGTGTGTCAGTGTAATACGGAGAATAGTGACCACTGAGGAAGGCCCGAAGGAGACCGAAACGTGTTTGGTCCTCAGTTAAAAAGTGTTTACCGGTCAAGTGTATTTGTATTAGAAAAGCTTTTAAAAGTCTGAAATTTAGACTCCTTCTTCTAATCATAGTATGTTTCAACATGTGTACACCTTAATAAACATTTGCATTTTTTAATATTCTATAGTGTAAGCTTGACCCTCTTGGTTCGCAGGTATCTCTTGGGTTGAGTTCCCCCCCCCCTTTCAGGCTCTCAGCCTGCCCTTGTAGGCCCCCCCTCGCGGAGAGAGCCAGCCGAAGGCACTCTGCACGTGCTCAGTCTCCCTGGGCTCTCAGCCTGCCCTTGTAGGCCCCCCTCGCGGAGAGAGCCGGCCGAAGGCACTCTGCACATGCTCAGGGGCACTTCGCCTCTCCCGGCGTCACTTTCCTCCGGCACGCGCGAGGCCTGCCTCCCCCCTCCACAGCCGTTCCCGGTGCCGTCCGCGGCCCCCGCGCCCCGCTCCGCCTCACCCTGGTTCCTCTCCGAGATCGGCCCGGCCGCCATCTTGCCCGAATCGGCGCGCAAAGCGACTCCTCCGCCCTCCTGGAGGCGACTTCCGCCCTGAACCGGAAATACGTCAGCCCTCTTGTGGCGGAGCCAAAGACCGACTTCCCGTCAGGCCTTTCGCCTGTTCCTGTGGGAATCATGCGCAGTAGCAGGCGAGGCGCGAGCCCGGTGCCGCCATTTTGAAAGAGGGCGGAAGTCTGGGGAGTGAAGGGAAAGGGGGGGCGGAGGAGCGACGAGAGTCGGCTTGAGGTGGTTTGTAGTCGAAAGAAATACCGGCCGGGGCAAAATGGCGGCGGCTCGTGGGACGTCATTTCCGTTGTCCGCTTCGCCCCGCCCATCTCGTCATGGGAGAAGCCTTTCGACCAATCAGCGCGAGTGCCCCTCCCGTGAGAATGTTTTTATACAAACTCGCGTGCAGAAAACTGGTTCACGTCGTGAAACATACGTATCTGAAACTCTCTAGTCCATTTTTACATTTATTATCAATATATTAAAATAGCCTAGAAAACTTCAGAACCTCTCCCGTGGAAA